TTAGCCGGGCGTGACCTCCCGTGACCACAGGGAGCCGAAGAACTTCCTAGGAACGGCTCTAAGTGTGGCGTGACCACCCGTGACCACGGGCGGTCGGGAAATAAGCGAGAGAACCGCTTTTAGGCGGGCGTGACCACCTGTGACCACAGGAAGCCGGAGAACTTCCTGGGAACGGCCCTGAGTGTGGCGTGACCACCCGTGACCACCGGCGGTCCGAAGATAAGCGGGGTAACCGCCTTTAGCCGGGCGTGACCACCCGTGACCACAGGGAGAAGAATAACATTGTAGGAACGCCCCTGAGTGTGGCGTGACCACCCGTGACCACGGGCAGTCGGGGAATAAGCGGGAGAACCGCTTTGAGGCGGGCGTGACCACCCGTGACCACAGGGAGCCGGAGAACGTCCTAGGAACGGCTCTGAGTGTTCCGTGACCACCCGTGACCACACGGGGTGAACCGCGTGTCGGTGCCCCTCCGGCACGTCTAGCCGGTCCGTGACCACGTCATCCTGCATGTCACCACAGCGCCCGAGGCTGGTTTCCCCTATGTTGGCTGCATGTTTGCCCGCCCATGGTAAATGGATCACGTTTGTACCGGTCCCTGGGTGCGGCGTGACCTCTATGTGGTCACGCCCCAAAAATACCCAAATGCACAGCCGCAGGGAACGTGTTAATGACCACAATTTTCTAGGTGCATCTGGTTAAGAAACGTGCATCTTTCTAGGGCAGTAGCAGCGAGCAAAAGTCGGTGAGAGTGCCAGCTAGGCCCGCGGTGACCGCTCAGCTCCGCACGGTGCCCACCCACCCCCACCCCATAGGCCCCCTCGCCCTCCGTAACCTGAACTGATGGGCGCCGTTAGGATCAACTGGTGTCTACGGGGCCCTCGCGGGTGTCGGGCGGGGCAGGGCAGGCCACTGGCGGGGCCGGGTGGGGCCAGGCCCCACAACGCCCTGCCACGCCCGACACGGGGGTCTCATTTAGAAAAATGGAGGCGGGGCATTAATGAGCGAAGAGGGACGAGCTAGTACAGCCACTTTGCGCCCGAATGTGCCCGGCCCCATCCTCCTCACACCGCGAGCCTACCTCTCTCTCACACCTTCTAGCGGATGATGTCTGCAGTACGGCCGCGGACCAACACGACAGGATTGGTGGGGAGATGAATAGGGCCATTCATGTACCTAATTCAAGTCCACGGAATTACTTTTTAGAGCTGGTTTAGTTGTTCTTCCGCCGCGTATAGGGTATGCGGCATATCCTATAATTGGATATCCTTATCCTCGCCTCATCCTGTTTGGAAGATAGGGCCACTGTTATAAGGAGTCGGCAAAACTTGGTAAGGAAACTTGGACAACGGTCCCGTCTTCATCTCTCACTACCAACTCGCCCCCCTTAGCCCTCGCTCCCTCCTCACTCATTCGAACTCTGCAGCTGCCAAACTTGGAAAACGCTCAACCTACTAGCTTCTCGTCGCGGTGTTTGCGAGGGGGTCGTTCACCTGCATGGCATGGCGCCAGCCCAAGTATATGACTAGGGTAACAACCCCCGCCTCTTCATCCTCTCCTTTTCGCACACACTCACACAGAAAATAGAACTTATATGTTTGACATTGAATTTTCATCGCCCCGGGAGAAGTTGGAGCAGCATTAGAAAGTCTTCCAATTCTCTATGTTTTAACTGTGTCACGCCGATATTTTAGAGTTCGTTAAGGCTGCATTCGAATACCACAATTAGGATTCTTGTTAGTAATGCTGATTTTTGCCCAATCTCAATGCCAAATACTGGTGTTGTTCCCTTCGAAAATGGATGGTGCTTCTTACCAAGCCATACTTTCTGAACTTTGGTACAGAATTCTTGACAGTGAACCTGTGAGCCCTGTTGACTCGGGAGACACCGTGAGTGAAGGAACCCGGACGGAGGAGGGGGAGGGGATATTCCGAGCTGGCTGAGTGCAACTTCCCTGGCCCTTCCTCCACTGCTGTCATGCCAGAGGGCTCGTCTCGCCAGGGATGGTGTGGGTAGGAGAGAGGACTATAGCAGTGGTAAGGGTAAGGGGAGGAACGAGACGCCTTTTCAACTGATTCGGATTTACCCTGCTGGAAAATGATTTATGTTTCGAGGAAGCACGTTCTCTGGACCCAGCCATCCTTTACCCCTTGAGTGTGTGTGTGCGCGCGCGCGGATATATGTGCGTACTTGTGTGTGTGTGTGTGTGTGTGTGTGATGGAGAGGGAAAAGGGGTTGAGGGGAGGGGGTCTTGCTGATGGGACCGACGGACCCGAAATGAATCTTTAATGAAGCACAACAACACACAAGGTGCGCCAGCGGGCGCATTCAAGAGACTCGACCGTTTGCGTGCTTGTTCGAACCATTGCGCACGTCACAGCCCGTTGTACCCTCCAACGATTGACAAAAACAACATTTTGCAAATAATTTTGAAGCGTTGCAAATGCAAACTGGTTCGCAACCCATTTATTTGCAATGTGAACACAGAGAGAGAGAGAGAGAGAGAGAGAGAGAGAGAGAGAGAGAGAGAGAGAGAGCACTCTAAATGTCAAGGGACAATTTTGTCCGTAGATTTGCAACGATTTCGTGCACATCCAGAAAGGATGCAATTTTGTTCCTAAAACTAGACAAATTGTGTGAAACTTCACACAATTTGTCCAATTAAGGGAACAAAATTGCATCCTTTCTGGATGTGCACGAAATCGTTGCAAATCTACGGACAAAATTGTCCCTTGACATTTAGAGTGAGAGAGAGAGAGAGAAAGCATGGTAGTTGGAAGTGAGCATGCGTGTGTTGTGCTCTTCCTACTCTTCCCACCTCCCTGATAACCGTGATAATCCGGAGCGGTAGTAGACGGGGCAAGTCCAGTCCAAAGCCGCAGCTGTCAAATCGGCTACGATCCTGGCAGGGTCCAGTCCAGGGTCCCCCACCCTCGCAGTGGTGGAGCAAGGCAACCGCGCGGAGAGGCAGTGTGGCAGGGTGCGACGGACAATTAGGGACGGTCCACAACGTTTTGGCATGGCTGCCAGCCAGCCGTGTGTCAAACATATGCACCTAAAAATAAGCGTTTTTATAAAAGCAGTTCATTTTTCTCATCCTTCTTCTTCTTCATCTTTTTAGCAGATGATACCTTACAAACTTAAACTTACTTATACTTAACATACATATAACTATACATGAGTAATGTAAGGTGTCATTGCTTTTACTCTCGATAAAGAAATATTAAAGAGAACCAGAAGAAAGCTCATATACGTATTGGGCTGGGCCTGCTAGGCGGGATCGTGAGGCGGCGTACGTCGCCAGCCGCCGTCGCGTCAGCCACGCCACGCGTTGTAGCGCTGCTGAGGCGAGCCGAGTTCCCCCGAGCCGAGCCGCCGAGCCCCGAGCGGAGCCCGAGCCGAGTCGGCCGCGCTAGCGCTAGCGGCCCCCCTCCCTTCTACCGCTGGAGCCCCCGCACAGCACCGCACCGCCACCTAAGGTGATATAGAGATAGGTGGCCGCAAGCGGGCGAGAGTGGGGGAAGGCAGATCCTTCGCGCCACTCCGCCGATCGGTTTGAGACGTGCTGGGTGCACGCTGGACCAGGTATTAGCAGGTAGCAAGGGTCGGCTTTAGGCCGGGCGGCCGTGCTAGGGTCGAGCTTCGAGCCTCCGGAGGGGCGGTGCCGGGTCTTTCCTGGCTCCTTAATCCCTTTTAAGTACTCGGCGGCGTGCGCGCTGGCCTGACAGTGGTTGACATGGAGATGCGCAGTCGGTTCTGCGCATGTCAGATCCACCAATGAGAGCGCTTGCGCCCACCTATCTACATTACACCTTACCGCCACCTACCCCCTCCCTTTCCCCACAAGTGTAAATACGGAAATATAATAGACTGGAATAGAATAATTCTTCACAAGGTATCATCTGCTTTCACGATCCGTTTCTGGTCGGAACTTTTTCTTCTTCTTCTTCTTATTATTATTATTCCTACTACTACTACTACTACAGTCTGGGAGCGTTAATGACGGTTTGTTATCTTTTCATCGTTCCGTCCACTTTGATAAGACCGGCGTTAATGACCCAGGTGCGTGCGGGGAGCTAACGAGTGCCGGCACTGCATTGTTAGGAAAGAGAAGTAGGAAAAGGGGGCGGAGGACGGACAGACAGACGGGTGTCCAGACAGGGGGTCTGAAGCGACGATGCCCGCCGGCTGCATCATGACAACTCCAGAGGTGCCGGGCCGGGTCCAGCTAGCAGTGTCCCCCGCGGCGTGCAACAGAGTGCCATGTACACGAACAAGCACACACCCACACACTCATACACGTGCGGGCGCATCACCCGATATGTACTGGAAAAGCAAACAAATCGAGAAGAGACAATCGCCCCTTCGGATATCAGTCGGGATTAAGAGCTGAGGATGGGGAGTGCCACAAAATGGCAAATCATATTGGGGTTGGGGTGAAGTGTGTCCTCAGGTTGACTTCGGTTCACGTCTAATACGTAGGGCCCCGTGCGTTAACATTATGCACGGGGTAGCTGAGCGAAGTGCATTACATTTACAGAAGACATAAAAAACAGAACAAAACTATGCCGAATAAGGGTCCGCCTAATAGGTAGGCA